TAAAAACAAAGCATGTATTGGCGATTAAGTCCCCCAAAATTGTATTAAGAATTCTTTGAAATGTTCTAGGTGAGTTTACTAATCCGAATGGTAAAACGAGAAATTCAAATCTTCCTAATGGATGTATGCTAAACGCTGTTTTGAAAATATCTTTTGGGTGCATTGCTACCTGATGGAAGCCGGATTTTAGATCGACAACATGATAAAATTTTGCTTTCCCGAGTTGATTAAATATTTCTGTTATGTTTGGAAATAGATATGGGTCAGCAACGGTTTTTTCATTCAATTTCCTGTAGTCAATTACTAATCGCCATCTAGCTTTCCCGTCTGCTAAGCTCTTTTTCTTCACTACCCACGTTGGTGCATTAAAAGCACTTTTCGATTTCCTTATTAAATTATTAGATACTAATGATTTTACTTCTTCAATAGCAATATCTCGTAATTTGTGTGGCAAGGGAAATTGTTTGACGTAAACCGGTTTGTTATCTGTTAAATTAATTTCATGTTGTTCTATATTACATGTGCCTAATCTGGCGCCATCGGCCCAAAATACATCTTCGTTTTCCTCAATAAGTTCTTTCATTATCTTATAGTTGTTTCCGATTAAATCTCTCAAATTTATTTTTTCTAATACTCTTTCCTTGTGGCTTAATTGATTTCCTTCAATTTTATTTTGTTCTTCTCCTAAAAAGTTTATGCTACCCGCGTATACAATTTCATTTTCATTGACATTGAAATCTATATTTTCCGTTAGTTCAATACTGCTTGGAAAGTTTTTTAAGTCGAAAGATAAATATTGATATGTTTGGATTTCTTCTGAAACAGTATTTTCCGAAGGGCATTCTATAGGGAATCGATAGGGAATTCTATTCTTATAATTACTTTTATAACCGATATCAATTGTTTATAATCATAATTGTCTACATAATCATCCTTTGTGTTAGTCATTTCATCAGTACTCATTGCTACATTTATATCGGTAATCATGTGTTCTATTTTGGAAGGGTCTTTCTCTAATTCAGCTTCCAAGTTCGTTATTCCCTTGGAAGAAAAAGGTATTAGTAATGAGTTTTTACAACTTTCGATCTCGCGTTCTACTTTTAAATCCTTTATAGTCATTGTTTCGTTATTTATTTTATCCGTTGTTGTTGTGCAAGGAAATGTAACAGATTCGGGTCCTCTAGTATATTTTCTCTTTCTAGTGGATGAAAATTGTTATTTTCCTCAAAGATTTTCGATTCTTCGTAGTGTTTTTCTTTTTCGTTTTTTGTTTTATTTTCCTTATTAATGCCATGTAAAATTTTACTTAAAAATCCCTTTTGTTCTTCTTTTATCCTTGATTTCTCTTTCTTTTTGTTTTCGGTAAAAACGATTGAGTTCATTTGAGTTAACGGTATTGATACAAGTTTTATTTTCTTACTATTTATTTCCAAATAACCTTCATCTAATCTTAACTTATTTTCTTTCAGAACAGGTATGCCAAGAATGCCGTCATAAGGGATTGAAAATTCTCTTGGTACAATATGAAAATCAATTAACAACCCATTAATTGTTATTTTTATCAAACCTAATGTTTGAATTGTTTTATCAGTACTACCGGATAATGAAATTTTTTCTGAGTCCAAAATAGCGTTTGATGGTATACAATTGCTTTTTATGATATTGATTTGAGCTCCGCTATCTATAAGTAAATTAAAATTAACACCCGAAAACGGATTCGGTACCTGTATGTATTGTAACAAATTTTTTAATTTTAGGAAATACATTGGCATTTTAGTTTCAATAATATTTGTAAGTTCTATATTGTCATTATATTCATTATAAAGTTTCTTTTGTTTATCATTTTGGAGGCATACTTTATTATTTTTTTTTCGTTTTGGTTTGCGACTCATATTGTCCTATTAAATTTAATGCGTGAGTTTCATTTTGGTCATTAATGTCCATGTTTCGTGTTGTCGTTTTTACGTCTCCTAATTCTGCAGCGAGTGACTTTTTATTTATTTCCTCCGTGCATTCATGTTCGGAAGAATCTATTCGTTTCCCTGATTATTATGTCTAAAACAAGTCGACTCTGTATGATCGGTACGTTTACAAATTGTACAAAATTTTTCTTGGTTATTTTCTAGTGATTTTATAATTGGACATAATTCGACTTTATGTCCTGATTCCTTGCAATAAGTACAAATACTAGTAGTTTTTGCGTTTCTTTCTAAAGCTCTCAATATCAAACAATTGTCAATTACATGATTATTCATGTGGCAATAATCACACTTAGTGTTATTATTTCTTTTCCTAAAATTATTGAATCGTGGAGGTCCGTTATCGTGATTAAAATTTCCATTTCTGCGTTTATCGTCGCTAGAATTTGTATTTGAACTGATTTTATTATCGTTACTTCTATTGTTCTTACTATAGCAAACCAGGATTCTTGCCCTTCCACAATTATTGGCTTCATGACCTTTTTCTTTACAGATTGTACACATTGCAAATCTACATTCTTTCGTTTCGTCCGCGTTTGGGCAATATTTTACTGAGTGACCGATTTCATTGTAACGCCTGCATGTCACATTCGGGCAATTGCGTATCGTATGGTCGCTGCTGTCGCAAGCAGCGCAAAAGTTCGCTGATTTGAAAGATTTTGAACAGTTGTGCGGGGCGTGTCCGCTTTCCTTACATTTCCAACATACTTCAAATTCTATAATAAATGGGCATTGTGTAACCGTATGACCCATCACCTGACAATATTGACAATGATTTCCTTTGACTCTGTTAAATTTATAACCGTCTATAGAATGCCCTTAAGCATTACAGAATTTACATATCAATTCGATTTTTTTATTTACAATTTTACAATTGTTTGACAGGTGATCTTTGTTTTTACAATATACACAAGCTCCTTTGTAACAAAATAAGGCTTCATGGTTATAGTCCTGACAAATTTGACAATTATATATGTGACTAACATTTGCTGAAGCAGTAACCGAGTCTACATTACTATGAAAAGGACTAGCGATATCACCCCTCAATAATCTTTGTTTTTTTAAGTTTGTTTCAATTTCAATAGCGTCTTGTAAAGCAGTACCCAAATTAATGTTATTTCCTAATTCTAAACGAATGTCTTATTGTAAACCTTGTTTAAAAATTTTTAACGCGTCAGCATTTAATACTGTTTCGTACGTTTTGAAATCTTCGTCAGTTACGTCTGCTTCTAACTTTTTCATTTCTTTAATTTGCAAAACTATTTCCTGTAAATGGTTTGCATATGCTAAGACGGGTTCATTTGGTTTTTGGATGATTTCCGTAAATTTCCCATATAAACTATGAATGTTGTCAAAGGAGGGAAATAGCTGCCTTATCACTTTGATATAATCATTTATCTTATCTATTTTGATGTTTACTAATGCTTTGTAAACTTCTCCGCCCAATTTAATTTTCAGAATTAATATTAAACTTGGTTCATCTAACTCAGAAACAATTGTTTTTACGTGTTTCAATTTTTCAATATATTCATTAGTTGTCATATTTTTTCTATCGAACTTTGGAACTAAATCTGCAACGTATTTAAGCGGTAAACGTAACGGTTGCGTCATTTTGTTGCTTGTTTCTACACCGTCGTTATCGACTTGTTCAAATTTATTTGTTTGAATGATTGGATTATAGAGTACTACTTGTCTGTCCGTTCCGTTCGTATTTATTGTACGTTTCGCGTCTTTGCAAATACTCTCTTCGTTACAAATACCACCAATATCTGTGTATTCGTTATTATTAAATGAAAATTCGTAATTCTGATCAAGAGTAAAGTCCAAATCTAATAATGAATTTTAGTGTTCAAAATTTTGTGTTAATCGTTTAAGTGGATTTTCTACAGAGTTGTTTACGTCCAACGTATTAAATACTTGAACTTCTTGTACCGTGCTTTCGTTAGGTGTTACTATATTATTTAATATTTTTTCCGTATTTTCCCTACTAATTCCTTTAGGAGGAGAGTGTACCAATTTCCTTGATCGTTTGAAAGGATCTATAACGGATGTGCTCAGTTGCACTATATCACTTTCCAACTCTGGTTTATTTTTTACCTGAAGCCGCGTGAGTCGTTTTGCTTCAATAGGGCTAGAGAGGTTTTTGTTGCTCATTAAAATATGATTTCATCTAGAATGTTATTTTATATAAAACAAACACCCATTTAGTACCGGAACCAATTGTTATGTCGCGACTACGTAGCCGTGACGTGTAGTTTTAGAATATGTATGATCATTCATTTATTAGAAATTATTATAGTGACAGGAACTTACCTGGGTTATTATTTCGAGTTAAATTGGCTGCTTAGCTCTATCTCGATGAAGTATATGTGAGGTCGGTCGGTAATGATGCACCAACACTCGATTCAAGTAATTATTTATTTATTCAAAGACAGAAATGATTTCTCAAAAAATAACAATAGGTAAATTGTACGTTATTCGGCCATCGCGCGTCGCGAATCAGCTCGTAAGAATTTTAACAAATTTTAATGCTATTGAGTAGTCGCGCGTCGCGAATCCGCTGCCGAAAAGTCGAGTCTCTGTTTTTATATTGACTCTTCGGCCCGTATTAATATGTTGAGTAATCAGAAAATCAAAATGTCGGGCGCCCCAAATTTTCGGACTACTTATCTTTTAATTTCGCTGAGTTTGTATTTCGTAAAAATGCCGTTCGTCGTTTATACATTATTTCGTTTTCAATCGATTGCTGATGAAATCAAAATGAAGAAATATTTACGTCTCAGGACGTAACAATACCATAAATATGATAGATAGATATTGTGTTGAAAATTTATCTTTATTGCGCAACATACTTTTAGTATTACTTTTCCTTCAGGTAATATCATATTCCAGATTTAATTACATATTAAGAAACTTTTATTTTTTTGCGATTGATCGAAAAACATATATTTTGTAACTACTTTTCAACATATATTCTAAAAATCTAAAATGGAATTTTGTATTTATTTTCAGAAAAATTAATTAATTTAACAACATTTCTCTAAGCATTTCTATATCTTTCCGGATAAATAAAGCTAAAACCGCTGCTCCGAGTCCGGTTGCATGATTAACACAACCAAAATCAGTGAAATTTCCAGATCGGCGTTTACGCATCTTAAAACTTTGTTGAAAGTGTGGACTGTATCTGAAATGAAACAAGAATATTTAGATGGGTGACGTAACCTTGAAAAGATGTAAATGTTTATAATAGCTTTAGCTACTATAATATATTTTTCTTTCTGTTAAACAAGATGAAATACTTTTATTACTTGTTGAAGCTATAATAAGAAATATTGATACCTATGGTCTCACAGAGTCTTGTTATGGCGAGGTTGATGGTAATCAATATAATATCAATAGTATTATTTCATAAGATGAGATACATTTATCGGATAAGACAATCAATAAAATAAATGATCAAAATCTTTATAAAACTAGTGCATGCGTTTTTGTTTGAAATTCACTTTCGAATGCAATAGTTTTTGGGTCTTACCATTACAGTTTATACAGTTGTTTTGAATGTTTGACCTAAGAGATTGGATTCGATCAAAGAATGAGTTCCATATATTTGAAGAATAAATTCTATGTGGTATAACATACGTGTTATGAGATATCGTACGCTATTGGAATTGATTATAGGGGTAAACAAGTCGCAGGTGATTGCTCACCGTGGGTGATTGCTCACCGTGGGTGATTACTCACCGTTTGGGTGGCCTGATACTAGATTTTCCGAGAAAAATAGCTCTCTAGCTGACGCCCAACGTCTTAACAAAATCATCTTTCTACGTTTTGATGCTTCATTCTAGCGAGGATAGTGACACCAAGAAAATTCTGGTATCAAGGCCCTACCTAAATTCAATACCGACATTAGAGATTGCCATTTTCATAACAAGAGAACTTAAGTCAATGGGCCAGGTGCGCAATTCCTGTATTATTAATTTTTCTACTAAATATAAGCAATTGTTTTGTAAGTCGTTTTGTTATGATAGCTGCAGATGCATTCGACAAATAACGGACTGAAATGTGGTAATATAGTCGGCGATAGATTGTTCATCGCCTTAGTACCTCGGTGCAGTTCATCGTATAAGTCTTTACGGATCAATCGATAGTAGAATTATTGCCGAAAATCATCCTCGAAGTTCGCGAAATCGTCTTATTCACTATGATTTTTAATAAAACATTGAGTCCATTCAGTCGATTTCAGAGACCGCCATTCGAATGCTCTCTAGATCTCCAACTGTGTTTGGCCACATATCGTTCGGACCGAGGTGTACCATGACTCAGTTGGGAAGTGTTCAACTCCCAAGACTCGGACTCGCTTTCTCGCTCCTGCGATCACTAATGTAGTCCTTCCGGAGGGTGATCGGCGTATGTTCGTCGTACACGCGGCATTTCTCTTTTTTTCGCTTGGTGGCTCCCAAATCCTTGGCTTTATATCCATCGATTCAGGAAATGGCCGTATTCCAACGTCTCATTTTGTGTCCATTAACGCTCGCTCTCATTCGCAGACTAAACGGTCGTTATGCTCGCGAGCCCATAAGTGCCTCTGTTATGTTAATAATGGTACGCGAAAGGGAGGAAGAGGATCGTGCTCGACCAGGCTCTTGGTTCCCGGACTTCGTGTCTAGATCACATGACGATGCTATTCTAGGATCCACTCTCACGTACATGATCGTGCCGTGGCATAAATATCGGGTACGCAACATTGCGAGCGATCCAGTGGTATCTAATTGTTGATTGGATTTCTTCTGGCAACGGAGTTTTTCAGTTGACTTTTCACGGTAGCTGAGGAGAGGTGCGCCAGGTAAAGTTTCATCGCTTCACTTTTCGTTATCTGTCATGTTGGAGAACTGACTGCTTTCTGCCACTCTTTCTCGAAACCTCGCATTAAGCTTTGTTTGCTCCATGAGCGCAAGCTGTCATCTGTAGTAAATTGATCATCGGCACGTGTAGATGGGATCGGTCACTCTCCCAATGCATAATTAAATGGATATACAAGGTAATCGCATTCGGGTTGCTCACATGAATGTTATCCGCAGAAAATACTGTCTTAAAACACTCTCAGGTGACCCTCAGCGCTTAAGTCTCGTACCCTCGTGTAGATACGAAGATCGTCGGTCTTCATGGTTACAATCCGCACTCGCAGTGCCGTCATCTGACTTATCCGTCGTATCAACAACTTATCTTTGTAGGTCAGCCTAGAGTCTAGCCACCAAACCGAGATCAAACCTACCCGAGAAACCGCTGAGCACATCTCGATATACCTGATCTCGACACGTAAACAATACGCTCGTACCTAAACAATACGAAATGGTTAGCCTAACAATATACGTTAATCCAAAGGTTAGGCTTACACATACAAATACTCGAATTACACAAGCTGTGCGTCTATTAGTACCTGACACACGCACGCAGAACTTCAAAACGATGCGTAACATCTATCCATGAAATTTCTCCCTTCTATTAGGTCTCAAATAGACTCATCAGAAGTGTGATCGTGTTCACCTTAAAATGAGCTGGTATTTATGTGTGGAATTGCTCCACATCGGCACACGCGCACTCGCTGTACGTGCACACTTATCCAACCACTCATCAAGAAACTCAACACTTCATGCTACTTCTTCACAGCTTTGTAAGAGACGCGATGTGTAGCTTCTCCCATAAGGAATGCCATAAAAAGATAAAATCGTTTTTCAAAATTCAATTTTAGGTTGTGACTTTATTTATAAAAGTATTTTGCGCGGGGAATGGTAGGTATGAGTGCTCCAACTACTGAGCAACTTACCGAGTCTATAGGTTGCAAAGTTAGCGCACACAAGAGCTTGAAATCAGAAAGAAAGGACGCAACACAAAAATCATGCTAACAATTCAATAATAAACGAAATTTATTATTTATTATTCACTCATTTAAAATACACTCCCCATTACATGCTTTTGCTAATCTTAGGAAAAAATCTGGAAAGCACAAAAGTTTTATACTGGTGAAAAATGATCGCAGTTTTAAAATTCTAGTATGATCATTTTGTGTAAGTCTGAAGGTTTGAAAAAAAACTATAGCAGACTAAAAAAATATATGTTTTTTTGTAAAATTTGTTTGTATCCTTTTTTTAAAATTTCATTGATTTTTATGTGATTACCAACTTGTGACTCTGCTAAGTAGCCCTATACCTTGGAACTAAACATGTACTTAAGAACATTTTATCCACTCTTCTTCTTATATAAACTTTTCTTTTACTTCCAAGAATTTCAAATTTGGACTTATCATTCCAATGAATTTTTTCCTACTGATAAATTACCCAATTTTTACGTTATTTTGCCCATTTAAATATTTTTTTAACGTTTGCAGGTCTTAGAAGTGAGTTTTCAATAGTCACTCGACCAAAAAGTTTTTTTTCACAGTCTTCGGCGCAAAGTATACTCGCTGACTATATTTGCTGTCCATTAGCGAAAACAGTTATTTTAAACACTGTTAAACGTCTACCCCGTAAAGATAATATAATTATATTCGTTGGCACTTGTTTTTTTTCGAATACTTTCTATTACGTCTGTTTTCCCATTCCTATAAATTTTTTAACATGTAATCTACTGTATGCTTTCTAATTTTCAATGTCTTGGCAATAGCATTATTTTATAATTTAAGTTTATTAAGAGCAATTATTTCGGTACGCTTATTACATGACCAATTCTTTGATTTAGCTATGCTTACTGTACAAGACAAAATTTAAGAATACACTAAATAGCATAAAATTCACTGTAACTGATTAATTTTTCAAATACATGTAAAAAATTTTAAAAATTACGGAAAGATTAATCATGATATTTGTTTGTATAGAGACAGATACACATTACGTAATGAATATGTAACAGTATGTTAGCAACAATTATTAACCCATTAACGACCAAAGAGGTCAGTTTTTGGACATATTTTTGATCGAAAAATTCATTTATAAAACGAAACAATAAATTGATCCAGGGTACCAAACCTTATGTTTTTGTGCATGCTGAATCTAAATCCGGGCTCAAAATTCAAAAATTTTGCTTACAGAATTAAATATGGCCCATTTTTTCTAAAAAAATAGGAAAATTTTGAAAAAAAAAATTTTTTGGAATTTTTTTTCTACCATAACACATGTCAATATCGAATTCTTTCTTCAACCATGAGTGCACAAAATTGTTGAACTTTAACAGAAAATTTTTATATTCAAAGTTTTTTTTCCAAAATGGCGGAAAAAATGCCAAAATCTGGAAAAAAATGCGTTTTAGTTTACTATTTTTTTCTCAAAAACTATGAGGTTAAGGAAAAGGTTTTATGTAACAAAAATTTCTTATATTTTGTCAAGGAACACTCTGAAATTTTTTAAAATTTTTTGAACATTTTTTTTAATTTTTCAAAAAATTACAGAATTGAAAATTTCACAAAAATTTCGAAAAATTCTCTGTAAAAATTAAAGAGTATTCATTGATCAATTCTAAGACATATTTGATCTTATAAATTTTTCCCGAAAGCCTATTGTTTTCGAGAAAAAAATTCTCAAACAATTGTGGAAATTCTATTCAACCGTTTAAACTTTTGGAATTTCATAAGATAAGTTGGGGTATAAACGTACCGAAGTTTAATTTATCAAGAGGTTCTAAATAAAGTATTGCGTAAGTACCTCTAACGTGTGACTACTTTCAGTTTATATTTATATTTTATTCTTGGCGTAACCCAGAGACAACAGCGTGGACGTAGTAAAATCATGTCTCCATCGAGGTGCTTGTTTATAGTGAGTCCCCTTGCCTCTCACTCCTCGGGGTGCTTTTTTATAGTGAATCCCCTCTCCTCTCATTCTACGAGGTGCTTTTTTATCGTAAGTTCCCTGGACTCTCACTGTAATCAGACATGCTTTGCTTTCATGCATGCACTGCAAAAAAACAAATTGCACTTCTCACAGTACACATATGTTCTTATTGGACAAATGGAACACTTGTTCTATTTCTTTTTTCGAATTGTTGTATGCTTTTCCTTATTTTTTTCAGCATCATGAATGTAACTTTTCGCTATTGACATTGTAAATTCTTTAGTTCCTACTTTTTTTTTACTATCATCAACAGCATTGAATATTACAACTGCATTTGTAATTGCTGCTTGGATAAGTCTAACGA